TGCCCAGCAACCACATGGTGGCTCACAACCATCCATTATGAGATCTGGTGCCCTCTTCTGGTGTGCAGATATACATGGAAGCAGAATGATGTATACATGATAAATAAAATCTTAAATAGATAAATAAATAAACATAAAAAACAAATCTTTAAAAAAAAAAAAGTAAGAAGAGAAAATTGACTTTAGACAAACTCAATGCACAACCCCACCCAGTGTCTTCCTTTGGGAGTGTTCTATGGTGAGATGCACAGGACAGTCCTACAGCAGGGGCAGAAACAAGATGCCCACAAATGTAACTGGCAATGTTTCCATGCACATTGCAGAGTACCTGACCACCATTAAAAAGATGCAAGGCAGAGGTAGAGGTAGCTTAGACTTGAGAACACCCAGATAGTGGTTCACAACCACCTGTAACGCCAGTTCCAGGGGATCTGGTACCGCCTTCTGTCTTCCGGAGACACCAAGCGTGCATGTGGTAAACATACATGTGTACAAGCAAGACACTCACACATAAAATGAATGAATCTGATGAAAACGTTAAAATAAATAGTGAAAAGATGAAGGGCCAGCAACAGGCTCAGTGGGGAGAGGTGCTTCCCTCTCGCACAAACCTGAAGATCCCAGTCTGATCCCCAGAAGGAGAGGACAGGTCCCACAAAGTTGTGCCCTGGCCTCCATACACGCACTTGGCATATGTGCTCCCCTCCCCCATTAAAAAAAAAAAAATCGCAGTAGAATCTCCTCCACAGAAACTTAAAGGAGAGCAAAGTATTGCTCTCCCTCACTGAGCAACGGAGAAATATAGCTAAAGGCCCACAACAACCCTTATGAAGTTAATTCCATTTGAATACAAAAAAGAATTTTGGGGCTGGAGAGATGGCTCAGAGGTTAAGAGCACTGACTGCTCTTCCAGAGGTCCTGAGTTCAATTCCCAGCACCCACATGGTGGCTCACAACCATCTGTAATGAGATCTGGTGCCCTCTTCTGGTGTGCAGATGTACATGGAAGCAGAATGTTGTATACATAATAAATAAAATCTTAAAAAAAAAAAAGAATTTCATAGCTGGGTGCATTGGCACACATCTGTCATCCCAGCACTTCGGAAGCAGAGGCAGGTGGATCTCTATGTGTTCGAAGGCCAGCCAGGACTACATAATGACATCTTGACAAAAGCAAGACAAAACCCCAACATAATCTCAGAAATATCCTACACACAGAGATGACATTTTAAAAAATGTTGGTATTAAGAGGCTGCTATGTCAACACTATTGTTGAGTACCCCAGAAATCACCTCAGAGCTGGGGAGGTGACACACACCTGCAATCCTCACACTTGGAGACAGAAGACCGTGTCTCAATAAAAAACAAAAATGTTCAAGTTTTCAAAATTAAAAACAAAAACAAAAACCCTGAGCCAGATGGTGGTGGTACACGCAAAGCTTTAATCAGCACTCAGGAGGCAGAGACAGGTGAATTTCTGTGGGTTCAAGGCCAGCCTGGTCTACAGAGTGAGTTCCAGGACAGCCAGGACTACACAGAGAAAGCCTTCTCCAAAAACCAAAACAAAAAAAGAAAAATCCAATTATATATATCAAGTAAAGGAAAAGCGCCTTCTACACACGTATAAAACAGGAACGAAAACACAAAGAACACACCACTCGTCACTCACTTCCTTTTTGTAACATCTAAATGAATCCTAATTGGCCACACACCCACCATCCCAGCAGTCCAGAGATGGAGGCAGAAAGACCAAGGTAAGGTCACCCTCTCCTAGACTCAAGTCCCTACAAACACCACAGTTAACTTACTTGGGTATGTTTCCCACATCACACTATGGAATGCCCTGTGTATTAATTAATGCAACTTGGCACAGTGTAACAAAGCCAGGCCTTATACCCCAACTCACCCAGCTTCATCTTCTTCAGCGTGGAGTCTGCATCATCCCGGGACCGTTTTCGGGAGTCTTTGCTGCTGGGCATGTTGCGGGCGATCTCTGCCTGGGGGGTGCCCAGGTCCACCAGCAGGGTGGTGATCTGGGCCTGGAACTCCAAGGAGGCAGGGTGCTTGAGCACACTCAGCAAGTGCAGCTTGAGGTTCTTACGCACGCTGCTCACCTGGGACTTGGCCAGCGTTGGGGGCAGGTTGGCTGTGAGGACAGAGTTGGGAGCTTGGTGCTGGGGACAGATCACTGTGGAGCCTGCCAGGCTCAATTCTCAGCCCTTGCTGCCATTCCCTGGGAAATTCCTAGACTCACAGAAGGACTGGTGGGCTTCCCCCTTTCAAGCGGAGACTGAAAGCCCAAGAAACCTCTAGGATATTAGTCCTTTAAAGTGAGGAAACCTAAATGCTATTTCTCTGCACTCGAGCCTCAGGTTCCCGTTTCCGATCTGCAGTCCACTGCTACCCTGGGGAGAGCTGTAACCGCCACCTTCTCCACAAGCTGCTGACTGCACAGCTGCCACAGCTCAGGCCAGTCCTCCTGTCACTGGCATGACCAGCCAGAGTCTCAGTCACCTTGGTGAGCAAGCTGCCCCTGTTCCACAGAGAAAGAGGCCTCTAACTCGGCCTGCGCAGTATCCACCATCAGCTCCTCAGCCTGTGCCACCCTCATTCCCTTCTGAGGGAACCACCCTGTCTCCATCCTCTGTCCAAGTGTGCAGGAGACCAGGGCCAATGAGAACACTGCGTTTCCCTGGCCACTGTGATTGGCTCAGTGGTGGGCTCGCAGTCTCTGGTCAGCCAATCATAAACAATGAACATCGGCCCTTGACTTTTGCTGGAATGATGGGGAAAGAGTTGCCCTCTCTCTCTGTTGCTAAGTGGACAGGATGGGAGCCTGCAGCTCTAGGGCCATCTTTACTGCTTCAAGAAACAGCCAGGAAACAACGCCAACCCAAGAGCTCAGAGGCTGACAGACTAAATCCACGACCAGCATCCAATCATGCCTCAACCCCAGGCACAAACATTGGAACATGTCAGCAGCCTCCTCTTCTGAGGGATCTCGGGAGGCTGGACTCTGAGAAATGATCTTGGGGGGCCAGCATCTCAAGCCAGCTTTGAGGTAGTTTTATATCCCACACCAAAGCTTTCTATCTAACATGCAACAGTGGAGTGCGCAGAGCTCAACAGCTCCTGGGGAAGCAGCAACCTGGCCAGGAGCCGGCCTGGGCGGGGAACTTCCACCTACCATGCAGGGTCTCATAGGCCTGGATCACCTCGGACATGAACATGGGTCTCTGGCGGGCGATGTTGGCAAGGGAGCCCAGGGCTGTGGTCAGGTTGATGGAGGAGATGGCGGGGTGTACCATGAACTTCAGCAGCTGCTCCAAGGCTGCCTTGCCTTCCTCCCACAGGACATCTAACGGGGAAGAAGAGAGGCTCAGTCAGTGGGGCCCCACTGTCAACCTGACTAGATGGAGATCCACCCTCACAGCCCAACAGGCCCTGGAGCAGCACTGCTCTCAGTCTGGTCCTCCAGAGTCAACAGTTATGTTCTGGTGTAAACACACTGAGCTCATACTACAGGAAAATGAGTACAGCAAACTCCATGTGTATCTACAGAAGACACTGTAACAGCACTGTGAGTACACACAGGGCACTAGGGAACAGCAACACTCACTGTACTGGATGTAGGGGTGATCTCGAGGGATTCGGTCCAGACTGATGTCATGCTCTTGGCGTCGGGGGACCTCTGAATCAGCCATGCGGGGTGACAGGGTGACAATGAGGCCCTCCACAAACTTGATGGCATGTGTACGGATGCCATCGTTGTCGGAATCCAAGAGTAGGATGATTTCCCCAGCCATGGAGGACACCATGTCCCAGCAGGCCTCCTGGAGATCGTTGATGACCCGAGACTTCACCATCCACTGCCGAGGGGTCAGGAATAGAAAAGACAGACAGCGAAGACAACACATCACCGTGAGCAGGATCCGCCCCCCACCTGCAGACTGAATGACTGTGAGCACATTCACTTAGTTAAACCAACAGCTATGCTCAGTACTGGGCAAGGCTAGGATGGGGGCAACCAAGACACAGCTAAGCCAGTGATGAAGTATCAGACCTCAAGACACAGGAGCAGTCACCTCAGAGGGGTCAGCAGGGCTCAAGAGATAGGGGAGCAGTTAAAGAGTATGGGCTGCTCTTGCAGAGAGCCCACCTTGCATTCCCATACCCACATGGCATCTCTCCCTGTCTGCTACTGCAGTTCCAGAAGATCTGATGTTCTCTTCTGGCCTCTACAGGCACTGTACACACACTGCATAGACATGTACGCAGACAAAGCACCCTATACCACTCCCCAAAAAAGCAGCAGTGACTGACTGGCTTCATTTTGCTAACAATGAATGGCCCAACCAATAAACTCACTCCTGTGTCATCAAATAACAACTGAGAACTCGTGTGATTCTCCTTTTCAAAGATGTTTATTTTTATGTGTATGGGTGTTTTGTCTGCATATATCTGTGCAACACATGTATGCAGTACCCGAGGAAGTCAGAAGAGAGCATCGGATGACCTGAAATTGGATGGGCATTGGTGGCACACGCCTTTAATCCCAGTACTCGGGAGGCAGAGGCAGGTGGATCTCTGTGAGTTCGAGACCAGCCTGGTCTACAAGAGCGAGTTCCAGGACAGCCTCCAAAGCCACAGAGAAACCCTGTCTCGAAAGCCCCCCACCCCCCACCCCCAAAAAAGAAAGAAATTGGAGTTACAGATGGTTACGAGAGACCATGTGGAAGTGAACCCGGGCCCTCTGGAAGAACAAGCATTCCCAACAGCTTGGCCATCTCTGTAGATTTGTGGTCCTTTTTAAAAAACTGCTATTATTTCTGCAGTCCAAGGTGGCCTTGAACTCTTTCTGCCCTAGCCTTACACATGCTAGGTTGGCAGGTGAGCAACCCACACCTGGCTGCCCTGCATCCCTCACTGAGCTAGCACTGCATCTAGAATCTTGGTCCTGGCCATCCCCTGAACCACCTGTCAGGGCTTGAGAGTGGACATTCTTGGGGAATGTCTGTGGAATACATAAATGAGTGGACCCAAACATTAGATGCCTTGCTGTCTGTTCTCACAACAGCAGCAGATTCACTTATGACAAGCTTATGCTTGCCACGACTGGCAACACAGGCCATAACCCAGCAAAAGGAGGAAGTGTGGGCAGGGAGAGGGAAATTCAAGGTTTCTCTGGGCAACTCAGCCTTGACCTCGACACCCTGGCATGGCTTGGACTGTAAGGAAGGCCACCCCGGCTGGGAAGGCCCAGCTGCGCTGCTCACCTGCAGGGCCACCTTGTAGAGCTGGGTCATGGTGAGGATGGCTTTCTTTACCACGTTCACATTTTCGTCCCGCAGGAGCATGTTGAGGTTGGCGATCAGTTTTAGCAGCAGCTCAATGTCCCGCTTGCTGGGGATGGAAGAGAAGGGGACAGGTAATGCTGGCCTGTGAATCAAGAGACTGAGGTGGAGGTGGGGACTCTTTATGGTCAGTACTCCCCGTAGTGTCGGATGTTTGTGACACCTCACTGTACCACAGCTGGCCCTGCGGCCTTCACTCCCGCAACTCTGTAGGGTCCAGCTGTCTAAGTAAGGGACAGCCAACAATTGTTTGAAGTTTGAGCAGGCCATCATCTTTTTCTCTGAGACAGAGTCTCAGCCCCAGCTTGGCCTCTAACTATCTAACAGCTGAGGATGACCTTGGGCTCCAGATGCTCCTGCCTCCACACCTCCTGTGCTAGGATTTGTAAGTGTGTACCACCACACAGATTTCTAAAGTGCTGGGGATGGAACCCAAGGCTCTGTGCATGCTCGGCAAGCATTCTAACGGAGCCACATCCCTAGCCCCATTCCTTATCTTACTTGGAGAACACCCACAGCACAGGTGGTAAAAACAGCCACCAAAACCACCGAGCGTGCAATGAAAGGACTTAGGAAAACACCTAGTTTTGTTTACTCAGGCCTGAAGGCTCCCACATCAGGGACCCTTTGGTAGGGCTAAGAACTGGCAGGGTCACTTTGGCTGCCAGAAAGAATCAAAGGCCTCCAGTGACGTCTGGCCAAGGAACAAAGCAATCTGAGAAGGCCCGCCCCCGGAGCGCAACACGTTAATGGGATTCTTTTCACAATGTTCTTTTTGTTCTGATTCCAAGCACCAGTTACACCGTTCAAAAAACATGAAACACCAAAGAAAGAGAGGAAGGAAGGAAGGAAGGAAGGAAGGAAGGAAGGAAGGAGGGAAGGAAGGAGGGAAGGAAAAGAGAAGACAAAAAAATGGTGGGCTGGAGAGATGGCTCAGTGTTTAAGAGCACTGGCTGTAGGCCTGGGTTACGTGAGACCCTGTCTAGACAAAAATAAAATAAAATAAAATAAAATAAAACTTGAGTGTCAAATTCTGGAAGACAGGGCATTACACAGTTTTGCTCACTGGACACATCTGTTACACAATTTTTTGCGAACTCCTAAAATTTAGTACAGCTGGATGTGGTATGCCACAATCTCAGCACCTGGGAGGCTGAGAGGGAGGAGGACTGCCCCAAGTTCAAGGCCACAGTAAGAACCTGTCTCTAGCAAACAACATGAAAAACTATCACCAATGTTCCCAGTAAAGAGGCGAGTGTGCCAATGTGGGGCAATGGGGTCAGAGACACAGAGTAAAGTATCCTAGGTCTGCCAAGTTCGGCCAAGTGAACTCGGGGAAAACCCACCGGACCCTCCAAATCACCTCAAAGCCTCATGATGAAGGTTGAATAACAAATAAGTCAACAAGACTCAATAGCTCCTGGCAGGCTAGCAGGGTAACAAAAAGAGCTATTTTATCTCCTCCCCCTTGCAGAGCCAAACGTGAATAGAGAAAGGAACCAGCTACTTCCCATTCTGAATCTCAGAGAGGGTGACTGGCTATCCAGGGCTGCTGTGGAGATCAAAGGCAAGAGGGGTCAAGCCATTACTAGATGTCCTTGCTTGTTCAACACCTACACTGTCACCACTGTTAGAACCAATCTTGTTTGAGGAAACACTGGGATATGGAGGCCCTGCTGTGAAGCCACCATTTATTTTTTGGTGAATTACCCAGGCAATTTCAAGCAGTGTGGAGCACCACAAAAAAAACAGCGACAGTGAAGACAGGAGTCAAAGGGAATGCTCAGGCAAGGTTTTCTGAGGAACCTGGAGAAGTGATGGAATGGCCCCAGGTCAGGCAGAAGCAGACTGGCTAGGAAGGACACTGGCGTTTTGTGAGGAGCAGAGGGAGATGGGGTCAGGCGAGTGCTCGGAGGACCGGCAGGAGTGTAGGAGAGGCACAGTAAGATGCCATATCCGCTCAGCAGATGGCCTAGCTACGCGCAGAGGTTGGTGAGGGTATGACTTCCCTCTGCAGATGGTTCCCAACTAGACTATGAGGCCAGGGACTGGGAGCAAACCTCCCATTCCAGAAACAGGAGACAGGGACAGGAGGACCAGAAATTCAAGGTTTTATCCTCTGCTACAAAGTAGCTCCAGGCCAGCCTGAGCTGCATCAGTTCTTGTCTAAAGCAAATCAAGAACTACAGAGTGACTGTACTAATCAGCACTTATGACTGTTTTAACATGGTCCGGGGTGGAGGGACGGCTCAGCAGTCGGCTCCTGAGAACCTGAGTTCACCTCCCAGTACCATATCACATCAGCCTGGTTCAGGAGTCCCCAAAGAGGAGACTGAGATGGCAAGCAGCAAGCAGCGGCTGCCTGTGTTCTGAAAGGAGAACCGCCACTTCAACCAACAAAGCAGCCATGAAGTGTTGCTTCAAGGGCAGGGGCTGTGTGGCGGGGGAGGGACTCTGGGGACATGCGCCAGGCCCCCAGGACTCTAAAGAGGCGCCTACCATGCCTCCTCGATGAAGCCTATGACGAACTTGCGCACCTCGATGGACTTGTCTGCTTGGAAAGCGATGATCTCCTGTGATGTCGGAAGGGAGATGGCTTAGCCACACCAAGGAGCATCACCTCACCTTTATCCCACCCCAGGGCCATCACTCACATCCAAGAAGTTGTCGAGCAGGGTGGGGTCTTTGTTGATGATCAGCTCCTGGACCTAGGAGATTGAGGGAGGAAGAACAGACCTGGAACACACCTGGAACCAGGCTCCAAAGCCAGGCACGGTGGCTCTTCTTCATAGTCCCTGTACTTGGGAGGCTGAGGCAGGATTGTCATGCTATCAAGGCAGTCTATACTATGGACTCTATCTAAAAAAACTAAAAATAAGGGCCATCAGGATGGCTTAGGGGGTAAAGTGCTAGCCACCCATGCCTCAAGATCTAAACAGACTCTCTGGGAGCCTCTTGGTAGAAAGATTTCCAGCAAGTTGCCCCGATACCCACGTGCTGTGCAGGCATACCTGAGGCAAAGAGTATAAAAGTATGGGACGTGGAGATGGCTCGGTGGGTAAACACTACCTCCACAAGCCCCAGGGCATTTTGGATCTCTGAAGCAACACAGCCAAAGTCCCAGCACTTTGGAGACAGAGGCAGGATCCCAGGGCAACCTGGCAGGCTAGACTAATGGCTCAGCAGGCTTTGGGGTCTACTGAGAGACCCTGCCTCAACCAAGCAGACAGTGACTAAGAAACACACATGTCAACACATACATGTGTGCACACATGCCTGTACCTCACACCAAGCAACCAGGCACCTCCATCCATGTGAACAAGCATACATGCACACCAGACATACCAGGAAAATAAAAAAATAAGTGCCTAATTTAAAGATAGGGTCTGGAGAGAGGGCTCAGCAGTTAAGAGCACTGGCTGCTCTTCCAGAGGACTAGAGAGAGAGCTGAGTCTGGTGGCACAGGCCTACAATCCAAGCTACTTGAAGAGACAGGAAGATTATAAGTTCAGCAGCCACCAAGGCTGCAGGGCGGGTTCAGGCCAGTTTGAAAAACACAGTAAGAATACTTCTCAAAATAAAAGTAAACCAGCTGTGGGGGTACACACCTCTAATCCCAGCACTTGGGCAGGGGCAGGGGCAAAGGCAAGGGCAGAGGCAGGTGGATTGCTGTGATTTTGAGGCAAGCCTGATTTACACATTGAGCTCTAAAATGCCGGGACTACATAGAGAGACCCTGCCTCAAATAAATAAATAAACAAACAAACAAATAAATAAAGCCCAAATGAATGAATGAATGAATGAATTTGAATGAACAGTAAGAGGGCCAAAAATGTAGCTCAACAATAGACTGCTTGCCTGGCAAGCCAAGGCTCTAGGTCCGGCCACAAGGATAAGGAAAAGAAAAGAAGAAAACCTCGAGCTCCTGCCTTCCTGAGGTTCAGCCTCCTATTACCTGTCTGACAGTTCTCCGTCCTCACAATGTCAGCATCCAGCAAGTATTCTGACCAGGAGAGCCCATTTCCTGAGGCCTCTTACATGTCAGGTTTTTTTTTTTTTTTCCCAGATAGGCTTTCTCTGTGAAACAGTCCTGGCTGCTGGCTTCCGGGCCCTGGGACGGGAGACCAGGCTGGCCACGAACTCACAGAGATCCGCCTGCCTCTGCCTCCTATGTGCTGGGATTAAAGGTGTGAGCCACCACTGCCTAGCCAGGAGCCCTCTCTTAATTCTGCTTGTCAGCCTTACCCACCATGGGTCATCACTGTCTGTCCACCCTACTGGACCATGGGAGAGAGGAAAGGCACAGGATCTGCAGGTGGACCCCAGAATCTAAGGGCTGGTTTGGCTAGCCACTAGCAGAGTCTGCTTCTCTGTGCATGAACTACAGGTGACCCCTCCACCCAGCACCCCGAGTCCCAGAGTTTGGGAAGCACTGAACAAGCATGCTTTACAACACTGCACTCCGGGGTGCAGGACTGTACAAGTGCACATGTGCCATCATGTATGAGTGTATCTCGGTGTGTGTGTGTGTGTGTGTGTATACTGCAGGCATGTGTGACTGCAGCTGCTAGCAACGCTCTCTCAGTGACTCTGTCCCTGACCCCCCACCTCACCTGTTTGAGCACTGTGATTTTGGAGTCATTGGTGATCAGCGCTGCCTGGTTCAGAAGATCTACCACCTGGAAGGAGGGACAAGCAAGTGTCACGGCCTGTCTCGCTGGCCCAGGCCAAGCCCCACAGTCTTGAGCTCTGCTGTCTGGGCAGCATCATGCCAAGGTAAGAGTCACTTGCTCTCACTCCCAACCCCTCAGTTATACTCACCCTCTCAGAAGTGGTCATGCCATCAACGCCTGGCCCTTCCTCTTGTGTGAAAAACTGTGATGCCACGCTCCGGCGGGTGCCACTGTCCCCACTGCCACTTGCCATGACTGCTGTCAGGGTCTCCCTGGAAAAGAAAATAGTAAGTTTCTCTATCCAGTCCTCCTTCTTCCCCGTAGGGTAGTTAGAGGGTTTATGTTCACATGCAGGGGATCCAAGGCCGGGGAGAACAGTGTCTCGGTCAGAGGCATGCACAATGCTTCAGCTCCAATACTTTTTGTCATCTTTTTTAAACACCGGGTATCGTGTAGGTTGGGCTGGTCTCAGACTCACTAGGTAGCCAAAGATGGTCCTCACCCCCTACTCCCTTCTGTCTGTGCCTGCCTCCCAAGAGCTGGAGTGACAGTGTGCACACCACACGTTCCCTGGTCAACCAGGGCTGCCGAAAGGCCATCTATGTGAGCGGGCATGGTGGCACACATCTCTATCTCAGCATTTTCAAGATGTAGGTAGGTGGCAACATCAGGAGCTTAAGGCCAGCCAGGGCTACTTTATACTGTCTCAAAAAAAATAAACAAACACAAAAAAAAACAAAAACAAAACAGAGAGAGAGAGAGAGAGAGAGAGAGAGAGAAAACAGAAGACTCATTGCAATACAGTATCCTTACACTGTTCCTTCTGTGAAAGTGAGGGAGAGGAACTTCCACAATTATCACAAGGTCATGCAGGAGAGTCACGGAGAAGACATCATGCATAGCATTACTTTTAACAGCAAGCAGCACAGGCCAACCCAGTGTTCTGAAGCAGGGAGCCAGGCTGCGAAGACACACCTACAAACTGAAGGGCTCTGCAAGCTGGCGGACAGTGCCTGCGCAGGCCGTGCAAGGCCCTTCATAGTACAGGCTGGACACCAGGGTAAATGAACAAGCAAGAGACGGCTTTGCTGTCAGCTGACCCCACCCCGCACTCCCTTTCTCATAGTGTCTCTTCTCTTGCCCCCAGAGATCTAGTCCTTTCTTCCATAGCAAGGCCTTCCCCACTCCAAATCACACACACACACCCTGCGCACATCCATGCCCCATGTCTGTTCATTACACCAACAGCATGGCCACCCAACAGAACACACCACAATGCTCCTTGAACCAGAAAGTAAGAAACTTTCCACTCTTCTTCTGGATGATACATCAAGAACCAACAAAATTTTCCTTCCTCTTTGGTTTACTCTTTAATTTTCCGGGGTTTGTTTTGTCTTGAGCATATATATTCCTGTTCCTCTTTCTGACAAATTTTTAAATTAGTGAAAATGATGTTCAGCTGCCCATTGGTATTGGAGACTGGCCCCAGGGCCTCCTTCCTATCAAAATTCAAACCCTTATTTAAAATAGCACTGTTTGGCCAGACGTGATGGCATACATACCCTTTTAATCCCAGCACTAGGGGCAGAGGCAAGATGATCTCTCAGGGTCACTCTGTCTCCAAAAAAAAAAAAAAAAAAAAAAAAAAAGGCAGTACTGTTTGTTGGGGCTAGGGATAGAGCACAGTTGGTACTCAGTTGTTTAACAGGCACAAATCCCCAGGCTCCATCCCAAGCAACACATAAATCCCGTGGTGTTAAACTCAAGGTCATCTTCCATACATAGTGAGTTGGGAAGCCAGCCTGGCCAGGAGACCTTGCCCCAAACAAAAGAGCAGTGTTCATGTGAAATTCACACATGCTCTGGCACACTTTTAAAACCCTCCCTCCTCCCTCTCCTCTCTCTCAGGCTGGCTAGAGATGGAACCCTGCATGACAGGCAAGTGCTCTATCACTGAGTTACATCCCCAGTCCTTTTTACTGTTAAGACTTTGAGACAGGGTCTCACTAAGTTGCCCAGGCTACCAATAAACTCATTCTGTAGTTCTGGCAAGGACTAGAACTTTGTGATCCTCCTGTCTGTGTCTTAAGTAGCTGGAATTACAAGTCTGTGCCACTCAGCCTGGTTTAAATCATCTCCAGATCACTTAGTACCTAATGCAATATAAACACTATGTAAACATTGTTACATTGTATTGTTTCAGGACTAACGTTTAAAAAAAAAAAAAAAAAGTCTACACAGGGCCAGCTTAAATTGGTTTCCTGAATATTTTTCTTTTTCGGAGACAGGGTTTCTTTGCGTAGCCCTGGCTGTCCTGGAACTCACTCTGTAGACCAGGCTGGCCTCGAACTCACAGAAATCCGCTTGCGGGTGCTTCCCAGGATCAAAGGTGTGCGCTGCCTGAATATTTCAATCTAAGGTTGGCTTGAATCCATCCACACGTGAGAACTTCTGGATACTTTCCTGTTTTCTATCTGGATACTTTTCTATTTCGGTTTTTCTCCTAATAAATGCTGGAGCTCAGTCTATTTTTTTTTTTCCCTTCCTTTTTTTTTCCCCCTACAGCTGCAAAATCATTTTATGACATTAATGCAATTAACCACCGATTTCAGGCGGGCTTCCCCCCTTGACAGTAGTGGGGCTGTGTGCAGTCTGGCTCTCTGAAACAAACATTATA